CTTTGGCCGCCATGAAACTAGCGGCTAGACCTTCGGTTTGTTGAACTCCGATATCAGATACATGAGGAGTGGCAATGCCCATGAACATGTTGGTAGGCAAGAAAACGTTATTCTGACTCGGATTCTGACCGAAATCCGCGAGGAAACACTCGCGGAAGGAATCCGCCTCGGGTTGAGAGATATGGCTCAAACTGGTTTGAGGATTATTGACATAGCAAAAAAGACTCTCGTCTAGGGTTTTCGCTATGCCGTTTTCGGCCCCGGGATAAGGTGAAAACCCGTCACCGTGAAACAAAGAATGATCAAGAAACTCGGATACCGTGAAAGAATCGATTTCGCCGCAAGGAAAAGCTCCAATGGACTCCATTGTTTTCTTCTCTATTGCGCCCAAGGACCAAAACAAGAAACAGAAGAAGTTCTCAAAAGGGCTTGACGTATGAGACAAGAACCGTACCAATGTATATATACGGAGCCAATGTGAAGTAAGTTTTTGACTTGGAACTAATAAATTATTGCTATTTCTTTGATATCTAACAATTATTCCGAAATATAAATAAATAAATTCGATCTCTAATTAATACTATGCATCTGATCGCAGAGGTCAACTGCGAAGCTAAACAACAGCCACATTACAACTCATGGGAGGCCAGTTCCATGCCAATGATAATACTAAAAAAATAAATACAATGCAATTAAATAAATTTGGACGTTTTCTAATAAATGCAGGATTTACGAGGATAATTATAGCCTAAGACCAATGATTAAGACGTTACTAATCTGTTTTAATTTTAATAAATTGTATGGTTCTTTCCATCAAGACACATAAGCGTGAGGGTATATATATATATATATATATTGATAATTCCCGTGGCAACGTGGGGAGACTTTGGAGGAATAAAATAACAATATTTGAAATTCTCTTTGTTTAAAAGAATGAACAAACAATGGTTGTTAGGAAGAACAATGACATCGTGAGAGATGAACTCATTTTTTTAAAGTAGTTTGAAATTCCGACAAGAAACCGACAAATCCGTTATCTTGTCTTCAATGTCAAAAAATCATAGAATACTCAAATATTGGAATGTTCATGAATTACCCATTAGTGTGAATGCTCTAATACCCTTTTTTTTGCTTTAAAATTGTTTTTTTTTACTATTCTATTTCTACATGGGAATTATTATTTCATGTTCGTGGACTGACCCTTTCAGCATCGATGAATCGTAGATTACAGAGCTCAAAGACAGCTAGAATTAGCTCATTATGAAACTTGTTCTAACTCCAAATATGAAATAATTGATAGAAGTTTCAGACTTTAAAAAAAAAAAAGCTAACTACCAAATTTTTCTTTACAGATTTCCGACAGTTTCGGTTACATCTGAAATATAAACTGTCATCAAGATTCTTTTGTGAGATGTTCACAAGATTGAATTCTAGAATCACACAGGGAATTTTTCAAAATTTTAATGCGTAAAAAGATCATATTTTTATTGTATCCAAAAAGGAAAAAAAAAAGAAACAAACTTTATATTAAAAATGAATGCTTTCTTCAAGATATCAGAGAAAATGAATTTGGAGAATCCGCAAAATTAGTGAATGTCGCCACATCATATGAACAAATGTAACGAGACCGAGTTGAATCAATAAAATAAACAATTTGGAATAGAATTACTAGGAGATAATTAATGTTCAAAATAAATGAATTTTTAGTTCTGTGTATTTAACTTTATCAAATTTGTAATAAACTAAAAAACTGAAACCGGAAATAGAAAGAAAAATCATTACGATATCTTTAGATTAATACAAAAGATTCCAGATTTGGTGAATATAAAGCTTATAAGCATAGCACAAGATCAACAGACACAGAATCCAAAACCAGCGTGTTATATCTCCAAAACAAATCTCTGTATATGTGCACACACACATATATATATATATATATATAAGAAAAGCAAACAATAAACCCACCAAGTCACAGTAACACCATTGATATGATGGAGATGACGTGAACGAAGCCGTGAAAACAGATTCCCGAAGATTCCGCCGATTCTCTCGCATTTCTTCACGCGTTTTTTTCTTCTTGAAGAATTAATTATTTTCATATCCTATAATCAGAAGAAAAACTAAAAATAAAAAAAAATAAAAAGATCAAGAAAAGCCTCTTGGGGGAGACTAACCGGCCAATGCACGACCCTTTGATGTTCGGAGGAAGACAACCTTATCTCAGGGAATAAAATCTTATATACTTTGAGGAAGTTTTTGTACTTTCTGGCGACATAGAATCCGATATTATTCCTTCGCCGGAGTTTGGTTCGCCGGCCGACAATTACACCTCTTAGTTTTTTTTTCTTTGATTAGGGTTTTTTCAAATTCACATGCATGCACTGTACACGTAATTAAAACATGAAGTTATTTGCGTTACAATGCACAACAAGCGTAGAGAAGAGAGGGAAAGATTACATATTAATTAGGTTCAGGTTTTTTTTATAACTTTTCTTATATAATTATATACCAATAAAATGGTATCAATAGCTTCAGAAGCTTTTTTTATATATAACATTTTTACTTTTATTTTGATATTTAATTGGTCATATTATCACAATTATATAAAAAAAATTAAAAATATATAAAAAAATAAGAGTCTTTGATTAGGGTTATGGTTCAGTTTGTTTAGTTATCTTTATTGAAATTATAACCAAATCTGAATTCAGTTCTACTAGTTTCATTTATTTATAGTCAATAAACCAAATTTTAGAGTAAAAATATATAAAATGATGTATTATTCATGAATATAATTCTCTTTACATTGTATAGTATATAGTTTTCGTTTTCTTTATCTAAAAAATCATATATGTATATATGTATATCTATACACATGTATTTCTATTTTAAAATAATAAAATGAATATTAGGTAACTAACGATAAGAGAGCATTGTTTTCACTTTTCAGTAGAAATATATATTTTTTTTTATCATTGTTCCAATAGTTGTCATATTGATCAATGTATCTTTCATTATTCATCTTCACTAATATGTATTCTTTCCTTTTCAATTAGAATTGGGAAATAATATGTGGATTCTTGTTTCCCTTGAGGAATGCCAACGATATGTCATTGCTCTACGTAAAATTAAAATTAAAAGTCAGAAATTTAATTAACATATTTTTTATGAATAATAAAAACATTTTATTTGAAATGTTTTGTATGCACAAAAGAAAAATCGTAGAGAAGATAGAAATTGACCGAAGAAAAATGTTATTGCCATTCAAAAGAACCAATTAGTTTTAAGATTGAAAGTTTCCTTTCAACAAACATATGGTTTATATCCAAAGCCAAAATAAGCTAAATAAATTATATATTTTGGTATCAACTGATTGATGTTAAGGATGCCGTAATCATGCGTTTAAACCTCATATAATTGGGCAAAAAGGGTTTAATTTAAGACTTTAAGATTATACAATTGGCCCTAGGAACAAGCTACAATTAGGGTGGTACCAACCATTTGTATTATATAGTTTTTATATTTAAGACGGCTTTATATGGCTTTGATTGGTCCACCCATCTCCTTCCACGTGTTCCTATCGTTTTGTTAATGATGGATTAATCATTTCTTAATCTTATTTTAATAAGCTAAAAGGGGGATCATATAGAGCCCTAGTTTTCTAATACAAAAAATAAGTTATAAAAATGACAAAAAAAAAACGTTGTTAAATTAAAATAAAATTGGAGGAGTCAGTTTTAAAATATAATGCAAAAGAATTCCCATTTTGAAATTAACATTTCATCATATGCATTTTGGGATTGCGTTTTATTTACAAATTTGGTCACTTAAAACATGATAATGGATATAAATGGGTGCAAAATACAAGCAATTTTTTTTTACGTATCATTCAGTCTCTAACCAAAAAATATATGAATTTTGGAGTAAAATATCCTACCATTTTTCGTTTTTGAGATTTTCTTTTCTTATAAAAATAAATAAAATTATATAATAGAGTGGCTATAACGTACCGACTAATCATGTGATTGTATTCTTATAACTTAAGCATCATATATTATATATTATGAAGTATTATAGGCTTATTGTATTTAGTGTGTACGGATATTTTAGCAATTGAAAGGGGAAAAAAAGTACGTAACAAAAAATTTCAAAATGCGAGAAAAAATATCTCTTTGGGTAAAAGATTATGAGAAAATCAAACCCTTATTCTCTGAAAGGGAAAACGATGAACCCAAATGTAAATATGAATTAACAAAGGTTAAGATTAAGATAAGAAATGAAAGCCAACCTGTAAAAAATAAACATTTATAGGCTAAGATATTCCATATTCACGCAAGCATGGACCAACCATATTTGATTCAACAGGACTGTAGAAGCATGATATGACACATACTGATATATTTTACCAACATAATAAATAATTATTTATATGAACATGCATCACAAGAATATGTACGTACAGTTACAATTGTACTAGCAAAAAATATTTTAGATATATTCTAATAATATAAAATAAAAACTTGGTAGGCCAATATTAAATATAAGTATGACTTTGGGTGTATGGACAACAAAAAATAAACTTAATATACTGCATTGTAGGGAAGGACATTTCATTATATATGTGTGTATATATATGTGTGTGTAAACCGTCATACCAATGATCATGACACAATGGCTATTATTAAGCCTTTGAATTATGTTTAGTAAATGCTTTTTATTTTATTTTTATCAATAGTAGTCAATACATTTTAGTATACTTAACATTATCCATTACTATGCCCAAGAAAGAGTG